ATGTACACTGCTGACTATATCTCCGCCACGGTTTAGCAACTCTACTACTACTGTTGTGTGTTTATTTTGGATGTGGTCTTTGGCTGACGATTGACAACTAACAGAACTACCGGTGCACACTCGCCGCCACTCCACCACTGCTAATGGACCGGACAGCTTGGGGCGTTTACCTTTCGGTTTTGGCAAAAGAGAGTAGAATGTGTGTAAACTTGGAGCACTGTGCAACTGTGGCCATCTTTGTGAGCTCTAAAGCTAACAAACTAGGCCAACTTAGCGTCTAACTGCAGGCTGGTCGGTCTAGTGTGCTAACTTTTAATAAAGAACAACCGGCGATGCCAAATGTTTCAAACCAAAGAAAATCAAAGGACATGTTATGCAAATTTGCATCTGTATTTGCACACTAGACTGTGTGTCATTCTCACAACAGAAGGTAGTGGGCTTAACGCACGGCATGGCGACGCCAGAATGTTCCCATAAAACATGTCAAAGGGGTTATTCATCCTGATTTTCGAAATATTGAAAACCATAGCTGTTTTACTTACCCCAAAAAGGAGAAAATTATAATTCCAGTGAACCGCTATTGTTCAACTGTCCAGAGACATGCAACGTAAACAACATTGTCCCCACATAACACAAAGGCTGTGTACTCTGGAAATGTTCTAGTAGGTTACGAGGGAGGGGAGTATGATCATTTTGAAATAAAAGAATACAAATCCAAACAAACATCCCAGCCACACTTTTATAGCAACGTTAGGTCCTACCTTTTTCAGATGATACTTCTCTTTCACGGAATTTGTTTTCCAAAGGCGACTGCCACAACATTGCACATTATATGTGCCGGCACAGAAAGGCACAGAGAGGGAAAGAGATCGAGATGAAACACTCAAAAGAAAAAACAAAAACATTTCAACAAAAGGGGTGACAGATGAGGGAAAGTAAAACAACTGACGGTAAAATAGAAGGCGTACAGTTTCAGGAAAGAAAAATAATGTCAGGGTGAGACAAGCTGAAAGCAGGGTGAGAAGGAGAGAGATGCCCACGTCATGCGTTTTGTCTCCTCTCATGTCAGCCGGCTCTGTTGTCTTCCTCGTTCAGCTGCCAGACAAATGCACACACACACACACACACACAGAATATACAGGCAGATGCAAACCAGTATACACACACACACACACACACACACACACACACTGAACACATCGGTAAACCATTTCAACAGAACATCAGGCATCTGGCTTTTATGAGACACGCACGCAAGACAGAGGACAGACAGAGCGCAAGAAAGGAAGCACATTAGACAAACCAAAGGGTTTAATCAGGGCTGATAAATGACAGTCATGCAACAAAGTTTACTTTTTGTGTGTGTTTCCTCTGGCTCTCTTTCTCATCACACCAGCCCCCCCCCATCTCAAACCACACGGACCCCCTGCTCTCTCCCTCTCTCCTTCACTACCTGTCCTCACTCAACCCTGTAACTAATGACTGGAGGAGGCGTTGCAGCACCTGCTGCAGACGAACACAAGAGGGAGGGATGAGGAGGATGGTGGTGTTCTGGTGGTTGTGGGTGTGGTGCCGTGGGGGAGGGGGAGGGGAGAGGGGGGAGGGGGGGATAGGCAGATGAAGAGAACAAACTAGGCCAAAAAAAGAGGGAGAAGAAAGGTGAAAAGTGCCAAGGACAAAGTGGAAGCGGAGAAGAAAAAAGGGGGAGAAAAGGGAGGTGTGAAGTGTCACTGCCGGTGGTACCATCTCACTAATTAGCATAGTGACCTTGGTCTGTAACTGTTATCGCGCACAGACACACACTCTCACACACACGCAGCTGTGTCCCTAGCCGGGTGTTTTTTTGTTTGCATGTTAAAAGTAGTGCCTGATATGACTTTTAAAACGCATTCATTTAATAATGCTACATGCTACAAGATTTCCCAAATATTTCACAAGCACAATGGCCAAAACCAGACCAATAGTTGTTTCCAATCAAGTTGTTAGTTTGTATTAAAGCAGGATCCACACACACAGGGAGAATGATTACAAATGCAATACAAAATAACAGAAAAAAAGAACAAAGTCTGGACAACTAAAATATAAATGAACTGAACCTTGTCTGGAGGGGGAAGAAAAAACATTGTGGACAAATTATCCATATGATCTAATTGGAGAAACAAATTGTGTCTCCCTGCAGTCTGAATGTAGCCCGGCAATCAGGACGTTTCGGATCGAACCAACATTTTGACATTTCACTTTTTAGTTAAAGGAGGTTTCACTCAAAAGATACAATTCCAGAGAGACAAAGTGAGAACGAGGCAGGGAGACAGAAACTGCGAGTGAGCAGGCAATGGCGAGGGGGAGTGTGCGGCTGTAGCAGTAATCGTCTTTCAGGTCAACAGTAATTACCAAGAAGACCGCGGAAGTGACACATGCCCACACGGTTTCTACTCTCTTCACATGTAGGGTTGCTGCATTTTCTGAGTCTTGTTTATTTCCCAACCAAAACACACAACTGCCACGAAGAAAATGTCGGAGCATTCCGCAGGGTTTAATAGATAAAGGTCCCTCTTTGAGGACACAATCATCTATACAGCAAACAGTGCAATCTAACTTACTCAGAGCTATAATTAATTCTCAGGAAGTTACTGTCATCATGTTCTACTTTGTGGTTGGCAATAGTATCTTCAGACCTGTGAAATATACTAGTACTTCTCACATTCCCAAAAGTAACTCAAGCCCCTCAGGTGCACTGTACCCCCGACATCCCTCACATGATGTGCACTACTAGCGTAAGTAGTGTACATGAAACACTACTTTGTAGCCACTGAAGCTTTGAATTACCTCCCATCCGATACTGCAGAACTTAAATTGTTACTGGGCCACAAACAGACTGAGAAAACCCTGAGTGAAGCACTGTAATATGTTGTTGAAAGCTGGATAACCAGCCCCCCCACACACACACACACACACACACACACTTCAAAACTCATTCTGGCATGGCGGGCAGTTGCTTCCAATTAATACTTCCAATAAATGCGTAAACTCCTCATGCTTAATGAGCTCTTCTAGTCAAATAGTTTAGGCTGGTATGATTTTAACTGCATTTTGGCAGGAAACACTGCGTGTGCTCTGATCACTGATCATTGAACAGCGCCAGGCCTCAGTTTAGTTGCCACCTGAAGGATGAAGGATGTCTGCGTGGATGATTATTTAACATTTCTCCTCCTTTGAAGCCCAAATGATAATAGTTTTATTCATCATGGTCTGGTCCTTTGGTGACACCCTTCATTTGGTAAGATAATCTTGTGTAGTAGATTTGATTATTATAAATCATTCACTTGTGCAATTTGTGTTGCTTATGAATTGCAACTTAATTAATATGTTTAAAAATGCTTTATACTTCAACACCTTTTAACAGCTTTCAAGGATACTTTCAACTCTAAATCAACCCATTGACTAACTGTGCTATGTTTATAAATAATGATATTCACTTTTTTGTGAGAAAAAAAAGTGGAGTGATCGTGGAAATTATCATTATTTTATTAATAGAAATAATACTGGCTAAAAAAACAGCCTCGCCTTTTCTAGATTTCTATTTTGTACAAAAAATACCAGTAAAAACTTTCACGAGTGCCTAATAACATGCAATCAATCAAATCCATAACTAAACGAATTTCTTAATTAAATTCCTGCAACGTTATGTAAGAGTGAGCTTTGTGAGTTTTGGACTTTTGATACAGTGTAGCTCTGTCTCTAAACCTTTCTCTGTCCTGTTGGGTCAAAGAAAAAAAGATTTTTCTTTTTCAAAACCTGATACCCTTTTTCTCATCAGCTACTCCCACTACTGTTTTCGGGGGAAAGGCTTTAACTATCTTGCCGATCAGAACTAAGAACAAAAGTTTCTGTCTCAGGTAACCTACAAATCGTAGGATGTGGATAGTTTTTTAGTTTTCACTAAAATCCGTCTAATTGGTACGAAATGACTAGAAATCAGACTTTGTCAAATCCCAATTAAGATGCTTATTTAGGGCTCCAGCAGGAAATCGAACTGCATTGTTTTTGAGACTTTTCTCTGGCAACCTGATTCCAGAAAGTTAGCCGGGACGTCAGCATCTCTGCGCATAATTAGTTCATGAAACAGTAAGAAGTGGGTGTAATTTCACTTGGAATTGACTCTTTGCCCTCAATTCCATCCCTCAGGGAAACTCAATCTCCAAGGAGTTGAGGGTTCTCCTCTCTTTAATAACAGCTAAACACATCAACACTGCTCATCCAAATGCCCCCTCAAGCCGTTAGGAACAAAATAAGAGATGGAAGTCTAATGAAAAGAGGTTTAATAGCAGAGCGAGGCAAAGGTGGCTCCGAGGCCTGCTGCTGTTTAATTCAATGGGATGCTGTTGGTGCCTGAAGACTGCCCTATTTTAATTGCACTCCTCTCTCATTTATAAAAGGAAGTATGCAGCTTTAATGAATCGGAAAGCAAAGCTTGCCATTCAGCGTCTTTCTTTCACACGCATTGTAGGGTAAATGCGATTGTGCTGGGTAGGCCCACATGTTTTGGCACAGCGTAACAGGCCACCTCTGCCAACACACGTGTTCACACCACGGCAACAAGCAACAGCCTACCAGTCACGTTCAATGGAAGTCGCTGAAATTAAGCACAGTTTAATCCACTCCCCCGTATTTTCAAAACGTTTTATCAATGATCAAATAATAACTGAAGGCGTTAATTAATACCTTTATAAGGACGTATCGCACGTAAGCACGTATCTCAGGCCTCCGGAAGGCAGCGAACGCAGTGGTCGTGGTTATGATTATCATCACGGCACTACTGTTGTCACGTGTCCCTAATATGACGAATGTGACCACAATTAAGCTCAACTATCAACACCGCCGGCTTTTCTCCTGGCTTGACGGACAGTGATTGCCTCTACCGGGAGTACAACGCCGCATGAAAGCCAAACACCTCAATAACAACAAGGAAAAGCGTGAGCGGCGAGCGGCGGGAGGCTTACCTTTGCCATCTGTGCCTGGACTCCGCTGGCTTTGAGCGAGGCCACCGCTTTCTGGGCTGCTGCAGGGCTGTCGAAGTCCACGAAGCCATAGCCTGCGCGCACACACACACACACACACACACACACACACACACACACACACACACACACACACACACACACACACACACACACACACACACACACACACACACACACACACACAGAAAGAAAGGATGAATTTCAGAGAGATAAAGAACATCAGTTAAGGTTTTTCTAAATATCTCTAATCAAAACCAGCCAAGTCCTGTAATTATATGCTGCATAAATCCTCTAAATGTATCAAACTCAAGTCACGAATCTTATGAAAGATACAAGTTGACCCTTTAAATATGTTTTTAGCACAGAACATCGACAGAATTAGTGTCGTAACAGTAACTCTCGCTCTCTTGTATCTTCTGCCTGCCCAAGTTTTGTGTAAAACGGGTGTTTTCAATAGAATTTTGTAACTAATGTTGGCTGCACAGATGTTTGCTCACCATCTCCTGTAGATGTACACAAATACAGAATAGACTAAGTGTTTGTAAACTCTACTACAATGGATCTCTGTACATACAAGAAATGCAGCATTTTGTCTGCATGTATGTGAGCATTGTAACGGTCAACCTGCTGAGGCTGGGGATCTAGTTTGGGAACACTATACTTTCAGATGTACGCCTGGTTTGACCGCCACATGGCACGACTGGAAAGAGATAGAACAGACAGAAAGAAAGACAGAAACATGCAAAATGCAGAGCAGCTTTGAGATTCCGTCTGCAGCTTTGAGGAAGCTGAGTGATAACACTGCGAAATGATCCACATTTCAAAAGATTCACTTGCTTACAATCCTAAATGTGAACATGTTAAGAACGAGCAACACCACTTCTCTCTGCCTCTCCAACTCACACACTTCCTTCTGAACATCTGTTCTTGTCTCTCTGTCTCTTCCACGGTTTGCAGACACGCTCTGTTTTGCTGATGAGCAGATGACTTTTCATTGTTCAAAGACAGCAAGCTGCTTTCGCAGCAAGATGCGTACTGCACGCACAAATATTTATACGGTCGCTAATGACAAACCCGTAATTAGGCCAAAACACACACACACACACACACACACACACACACTTACCACACGCTGATATAGTGTTTGAATTGATTTCTTCCAAGCAGATTCATAAACATATGCGAGCATGTAGTGCATAGACATCCTCACCATATACACAAGCATCCACGCTATTTTATCTGTACTCATCCAATTAGGGCCACACCAACACAGTTGAACTAATTGAGAATGTGCAAACGCAGAGGATTCCTCAGTAGCGAAGGAACATGCCTTCATTTTATTCCAGTAAAACTGTGGAAAGCATTTTTTGTATCTCACTAATGGCTGTTTGTTTAACCAGAGACTACGTGTGTAATTAGTGGGAAAATGAAACCCTGAACACAATTCACAGTGGATAATTAAATCAAAACAGTCCTCTTGTTTGATGTCAGTAGTTCAGCGTTGTTGGTAGCACACAGTTTTCAAATAGAGCGACTGTAATAATCAAGCTGGCTTTTAAGGAGAACTCAATCTCACACATCACAGTCTGTTTGTCTGCTTGAGGAGTTTTGTTACGTCTATGAAAAAATACGTATGAAGCCTCTTGTGGGTCTACGGGAGCTCATCGCAATCTGAAAAGCTGCCTAAAGTGAGACGAGAGAAGACACAGGTTTACGACCATCTAACTAGAGGCATGAGACATTAATCTGTCATCATTTACAGATCAACTGGAGAGCACATAACAAATGTCTAGACAGTATTACAATTCAAGAAAATGAAGTTTAGGTCTCACCATTCTTGTACCTGATATATCTAGAAATATGAACATCTGTTTTGGAAGAAAAATGCCAGCCACCCTTCACCATTCAAAACAGACTAATAGAGACATTTCCTCTCTGAGTGCTCATCTCATTGACAGCTTTGCTATGATAGAACCTCAGCCTTGAAAGGTGTCATTTGCTTTGACTGAATTCAACACTTCACCAGGAGCGAGCTGTGTTTCTGAACATGTATTTGCCCCTCCATCCTGGGAGGTCAGTGTCAGTGACCCAACATACCTCGGGAGCTGGCAGAGATTCATTGTCCTGCTCAAGGACACTTGTGTTGAGGCCCGTTGAGTCTGTGAGCAGATGTCGGTCTTCCAAGTTTATGAAAATCGAAACATATCATTTGTTCATTTTCACATAACCTAAACAGTACAACTCCCTCTCCTTGGTTTGTGCAATACGTCTCAACACATGTGGATGTATGTGATAGCTCTTCTAGGACCGACAGTACGATATAAACTGAATAATTATTTAATCCCTCTCAATTGCGCCCTGTCCATCCCCACTGTGGCCTTATGATGACACGGAGATGAAAATTCATCTCGCTCAGTCAAGCCTGACACATATTCCACTTGTTTTATTACCGAGCACATGTATCCACACTCATAGACACAGATGGAGGCACAGATAAACATCACACACACACACACACACACACACGCACACGCACGCACGCCCAAACAAACACACACCCATCCAATCTCATGAGCTCCCAGAGTTCCTGCCCTTGGGCCATTAGACTAACCGAGAACAGAGGAAAAAGGAGAGAGAGAGAGAGAGAGAGAGAGAGAGAGAGAGAGAAAGACTAAGGAAAGGAGCCATGGGGGAGGCAGTGAGTTGGCGGGAGAGGGAGAGAGAAAGAGAATGAGATGAAAAACAGGGGGGAGGGAGGGAGGGAGGCAGAGAACAGGCAGTAGACACGGAAATAAGGGAGGGCCCTTGTCTTTGGGAAATGGAAATCCTTTACAATCTAAAGTGGTTTCCTCTCCCTTCCTTCCTCCCTCCTGTGCTCTGTGGCCTCTCGCTCCCCCAGAGCTCCCACGCTGCTAACTAGAAAAACGTCAGTGTATCAGTGTGCCTGCTAACCAAAGCTAAGGATTTTAATAATTAAGAAAATGAAGAAAAAATTAATTCACAGTATTTCCCGACAACAAAGCTACATTTAGGCTTTCTTTGTTCACTGGCATGAACATCCATTGATTTAGGGCTCCTATCTCTTCTCTATTCAATCACATACACGTATGGTTCCAGAGAGAATAATGTGCCTTTCAGGGTCAAAAAAGCAAAGACGCCTTGAAAACATCGGGCAGGGCTTGAGGAATCAATCAGAAGGCTACAAAACAATCTGGCGGAAGGAAGACGATCAGAGAAATTAGGATCACAAGGCCGGTGGAGAGATTATATCTCCACACTGGCCTGGGAACGCCTTGGCATCCCTCAGTCAGGCCTGGTACATGTGGGCTGGTAAAAGGAGGTTTGGGGTCCCCTGCTGAAACTGTTGCCCCCCCCCGATCCGCGGATAAGCAGTTGAAGATGAGATGAGGCTGTCACATGACAACAGCTGTGTAAAGCGCTGAGCGAACATCATCATCCCTGCAGACTGTAAGGAAGGAAGACTTGATTTATTTACCCGTCTCTTTGTCTCTGTGTGTGAATACTGGCATGATACTCTGGACCTCGGAGTAAATGACTGACTCTATGAAACTGTTCTTTAGCAGAGAATCTTCCGGAAAAGAGGAGGCTGTCTGCTCAATCATTAGTTTAAAAGGGCTCCCCTTCCGTTTCTGTCAGCCCCGGGTTATTTTCACCCCCACCCCTCCACCTCCTCCCATCCATCCCTCTCTTTCTCTTTCTCGGTGCCAATTTGTACTCTCTTAGTCACGCCAAGCACTTATCTTGTCCCCACTGAATGCCTCTGCAATCAAACCAACACTTATCCGGTTGTAAGGCATTCTAATGGCCGCCTGATAATGAAACTCCTTCATTGTGAGTTAACAACTGGCTGAGACATGTATGAAGTCTACAACACAAGCAGTGAAATTGCTGATGAGGACCAAAGACAAAGAAATTCTTTTTGCTGCTGCAGCTGCTTCCTTCAGAGTGTTCTGTGCATTAAATAATAAGCCTAAATTTACAAAAGGAGGCGTCGATATGAATTTTCAAACCGTCTCTCTAAGGTTTTGTATTCATAAAAGTCTTTCCTGGAGTGAATCCAGAGCACGGTTCAGGCCAGGATGGGCAATATTACTCACTTGAAGACACACACACACACACACACACACACACACACACGTTTTGTCACTCAGAAACACATTGACTGCTACAAATTGATTTCATTAAATACACGCTGATTAAAACAGAAATAAGTTTGAACACTAAATGGATTAAATGTGAGGCTTCAGTCTAATTTTGGACATAGATCTAAGAGACATAAACATGAATTGTATATTCATGCGTTTTTTCAAAAACATTTGTGACATTTAAATCTGGCGATAATTTACATTTGTGTTATTGTCAACAAAATTCCATCAGAAGACTGCAAAACCAGTTTTTTGCCCCACGTTTTATTCATTCGTTGCATTAATTCAACAAAATTGCCTCAAACAGAGGCACTTTAGTTATAATGAACCTTACATTCGGTGCTCTAGTGAGGATTCATCGCAGCGGAACTATTTGTATGTGGGATTGACTCAAATGGGATTGGTGAACAAAAAGAAAAACATTACCACTTAAAAGCAGATTTCTAGATTAGTTGTGGTTTACTGGTAAGCATTGGAAGTAAATGGCCTTTTCAGATGCAATTTGATCTTAAATAAAGCAGATATCATTTTCAATTATCAAATGAAATTAATCATGTAGCCATAATTGGCACACACAATAATCATGAGCTGGAGCACTGATGGTTTACTAAATCCGGTTATTTAAATTCCAGTTCAAGCAAACAGTAATGAACATATTTAATGATTTGAGGAGATGGAGGAATAACTGATAATTATCACTAGGTTTATAGACACTTCGGCTGTGCTGTAACGATGTCAGGAAAGGCATTTTCGAAATGCTTTCAGAGCTCCAAGCAGTATTTATATACCTGGTCATTTAAAAAGACACAACAAAATAACTAAAGTTAAGCAGCGTTCAGGGAAAATTCAACGTTTGGTGTTTCGATTATTATTTTAAGATAAGCATAATTTCATGAACATTTCTGGCATTGTTATCAATCAGACCGGCTCTTCCTTCACTCATATCATTGAAGCTGATGCGCTGATTACAGGGCATTTGTGCTGTTGTCCTAAACGTCGGTGTACCTTTGAGTGCAGCCCCAGCAGATGAGCAGCAATCATGCTGAGGACTTGCTCTTCTGTGCCCCTTCAAAAGCAGACGACTACAATCTTATTGATTGGTGCTTTGTTCAGGCCACTCCAACAATCAAGCAGACCCTCATCAGAAGACACTTGAGTGAGCTTCATTCACCACCGAGACTATTTTAAACACATTGTCTGGATGCGGGTTGTTCTCCGTTTGGATTTGGCCAATAAAAACGATCAACGATCAACAAGCTTAATTTCAAAAGCTGCTTAACTTTGAGTACCATTGGGGGGCAAACTGTGAAAACACCATAATGGAATAGTTAAAGAAAATAAAGATACTGAAGCAGTGCATGGTGAGATTCGAGGATGACACGGACATCATGGCACTCACTACTGTCGTGATGTTCACGCAGAAAGCTGTGAACCCGCAGCTTCATGAGGCCCACACATGGTGCATGGACCAGCACACAGACCTCAAGTTGAAGACATTTGTTCTAGTCTGATTCACGCTGTTGACATTTGAGTTCTTTGAAAAAAAAGGAGGAGAGGAATGGATATTCATCATCTGCATGCAAGCTGCCATGTCAATTCTCTACTGATTTCTTCCAGGCTAAAGTCTCGTATCAACATGAGTTTTCTGAAATATATTGTACCTTTGCAAGGCTGCAGATGGTGCCACTGTGTTAAGTCACTCACCTTTGCATTGGTTGGTATTCTTGTCCAAGATGGCCTTTGTTGACACGATCTTCCCATATCTGTAAAACAACAATAACATTTTCAGATCAGTCAAAATATCACTTTTTAACTATAAAAAGATACATATATTGAATTCTTTACGTCCTATGCATGCGGCATGGCTCAAGGGGGGCAGCGGCTTTTCTATATGAAATTGGGCCACTTTGGTCAGCACGTATATCAACAACTTGATTTCCCTGAATTGTTGCAGACATGAGCCGATCTTCGTTCCTACCCTCACCTATGTTCATGAAGGATGGGTGATGACCCAAAGAACTAGGTCATATACAGGTACAAGCGGACGAAATGGGTCCCCCCCCCCCATAGAGATAGGGTGAGAAGCTCAGCCATCCGCGAAGAGCTCGTAGTAGAGCCACTGCCCCTTTGCCTGGAAAGGAGCCAGTTGGGGTTGTGTGGGCATCTCCCCGGGGAGGAGTTGCAGGCACGGCCAGCTGGGAGGAGGCCCTGGGCAAGAGCCAGGACTAGGCTGAGAGATTACTTCTTCACACTGGCCTGGGGACGCCTCGGGATCCCCCCAGTCTGAGCTGATAGGGGCCCGCAAAAGAGAAGCTTGGGGTTCCCTGCTGGAACTGTTGCCCCCGCGACCCCGAACCCCGATAAGCGGTTAAGGATGAGATGAGACGACCATCATGTTAACATTGTCATAGTGAGCATGTTGTCATGCTCGCAGAACAAAAATGTATTAAATCCAATTAATTACCTCATCTTTATCGGAGGCAATATTTGTAGGTGCAATTGCAAAGATATTCTTTTAATTCAAAATAATTCAGATTTTCAGTTAGATTCTCTGTTTGCTTCTATCCATTCCTTTGTTCATTTCCATTCCAGATTTACCTGGGAGCCTCAGCACACAGACAGTATTGTCTAATAAATCATCTTACAGTAATCACTTGGCATCTGTATGCCACCCGATCCTCAAAGAGACAGACAACCTCCATACCTACGTACTCTCTGCCAACTTTGAATGTCTCCCCGCTTCGCTACCTTACCCTCTGTCTTACGCTTGGCACTTCCTGCCTCTCTCTTTGTCTCTTTCCTCTTATTCCTCCTTGCATCCCACTTTCTATTCTCCAGCTCACTGTTCTCAGAGAGAAGTTATTAATGTTTCTTATCAGACCGGCCTTTGAGTCCTCCAGGAAGGAGAAGGCGGTGAGAAAACAGAAAACTAAGACACAGGCTGAGCAGGTATGAGCAGAGACAGAGAGGAGGCTGCAAAAACACCCAGATCGCTGGATCACTGCCGAGCTATGTGCGTGAGACTTTTTAATTCACGTCTTGCACAATGACTGAGTGGCTGGCCGTTTGCCTATCAAACAGATTGACAGGTTGACAAGCTGGCTGATGGCCACAGGTGAGGGATGGAGGCCTAGTCCCTCTTCCCTTTAAGAGAAAAGAGGGAGACAACTGGGAGGGAGACCGGAAAGATAGAGAAATCAGCAGAAAATACAGTGTGGGAGGTTGAACAAAAGAGAAAGGGAGAGCGAGTCGGAAGAATGAGAAATAGATGAGGAGAGGGAGGGCAGTCAGTCAAAAGATAAAATGAGACACTGAAGGCGAGGCGGAAGCGAGGTAGTCGGGGTGCGATGGAGAGATAGTAAGAGGTGTTTAATAAAGAAGAGATCATTTAGTTGTCAGCATCAGGAGAGTCTCTGTCAGCCAACTGCTTCTGTCAGAGAGAAGACGAGAACAGACTAGCTCGCCTGACAGCTTCACATCATACTCTATTGGGACAGAAGACTTTAGAAGTAAAGTCAGACAAAAGGCTTTAAAAGGCTTCGATCACAAACAACACGACAGCTGAGCAGCTTATGATCTTAAAATTGCTCGAGAAATCACTGCTTTTTTCAGACGATGGTCAATTTTCACACTTTTTCTCCGTCAATCGAGAATTCTTTTCGGGTATTTACAAATCCTCTGGTTTGTCTCAAACTAAAATCAAATATAATTTTCAATTTGCTTTGTTGTTTTTTAAAACCAGGGAATGTGCTAAACAAGGTCCTTGGCCTGCGGCCTGGGGAGCAATCCAACTGTTTCAGACTAATCGGCCACACGTATTCACAAAGACAAACACACACGTGGACGCACACGCAATGCAACAGCTCACATCAAAAAACCAAAGTAATCACGCACGTTATACACACCATCTGGCAATACACAACTCTTTGTTGACTTCTGCCTCGGTGTGATTCAAACTGTGTGTGCGCGATTGTGTGTGTGTGTGTGTGTGTGTGTGTGTAAGAGAAAGAAAGTGAGAAAGACAAAGGGAAAAGCCTGACACATTAGGAATCTTGAGAAAATATGATCCCGGTTGTCTCAAAATGGAAAACAAGTGTGGATGTTTAACATGTGACTTGTGTGTGCGTGTGTGTGTTGTTCTCACATCATGCCAACGGGTGTGACGTACAAGTATGAATCCACCTGTTTATTGTCTCGCTGCACAATCCAGCCAGACTGAAAAACAAAATAAAAGGAGGAGAGGAATCACACTTTGGCCTTGGGGCCAATTACCACAACTGCGTCTTCCAAAAATGTTTTTCCCTTCTGGACTTCTGGGAATCAGTGGTGAAATTCCATTTTATCCAAACAGCAAGAGCAACCTGCTGTTGAGGTGATGCAATGGAAGAAAGTATTGATAATAGTTCCGATGACAGAGTAAGGAAGCAGAGGAGAGCACGGAATAAGAGGCGGGAGGAAGTGCAGAAGGTCCCGTTAAAGTCCCGACTGGAATCCTCTCATTGATTCCAGCAGAAGCTGGAGCTAGTTGAAATAACTCCGACCCGCACTTGACCCAACGGCACGCATGAGACACTAATGAATACTATTCAAAGACTTACAACATAACAAGGAAGGGCTACACGGAGCCAGATGGTGATGGTTAGCACTTCTTTATTCCATTGCTCTGCACCGGCCCAAAGGAGACTGAGAATCAGTTCTCAAATGGATCTGGATATGGCATTTATTTCCGTTAGATGTAAATCATGACTAAAGAGACCATAATGGCAGTTAAGTGTGAGGACACAGTGAAGCAATTTTCCAACATGCTTGACAAAGTAATCTAGACCACAGCTCTATCTGCAGTTCAGCATTCCAACTTTTATTCCACTGATTTATAAATGAAGCGTGCTTGTCATGTTTAACTAGATGACATGGCGCCGAAGGTTTATTGCCTTTGTCTGCTCAGTCAATTCCCATAAAGATTGTCATTGTCATCCAGATGACACCAGGCTGACACAAAAAAAAGCCAATAGGTAATATGTGATCATGCAACTGTAGAGAGGAACACTTCTCCTGTGGTGAGAAATAATGCATTCAGGTTTTCTTCTGTTGATACATTTGCTGAAGTACTTTGTCAAGAAGCTGCTTTTATGTCATAAAGTAGCTGGCTCGCCTAACACCATCTAATCCCTTTGGTTTTATAAAAATTATACTGTTTTAAGTCCCATAAAACAGTACCAAGCAAGGGACGAACCTTTACGATAAGTTGTGTCTACTTCAACTCATAGAGACTCATAAGAATATCTTTTTTCTCCCAAAAAGAAACAAGTTTCCCAAAAAACAGTAGGACATCTAACATTGTTGGTATTTCTGTCTGAATGTCAACATGCGAGGTGGTAACGTGGATGCAAAACTCACAACATCAAAATGTTGGAAGTCTCGACACAATCTGGGTGCACCCTGGCTGCGTGTGTGTGTGTGTGTGTGTGTGTGTGTGTGTGTGTGTAACGTGTTAATGACAGTCCTCTGAGGGCCCCCAAAGCGTCAGATCTGTGTTTTCATTTCCTTGTGGAGCACCATCAGCCTATGGATGCTCACCGTTTGATGTCTACTGAACCACAGTTGCCACCCACAGCCACACAAACAAACATGCACTTTCCCTATTTCTATCTCTCCAGGATGTACGTGAGTGTACATATCTGGACGTTGTGTGTGTTTGAACGGTGCGCGTGCTCTCTCTGAGGCTGTGTGTCTGTTTCAGTGTGTGTACGGGTGTGTGTGTGTGTGTGTGTGTGTGTGTGTGTGTGTGTTTGCCTGCATGAGCAGGTTCGTCTCCGTGTGCGGTATTCCCTAATTGGGGATCCAATGCTGCTGTCTTGTCTCTTGCACTTCCCGTTTTTTCCCCTCGCGCTGCCAGTTAGACTCAGACAAACACAGAAGAAGAGACCGACAGAGCGCAATGCTTCACAAGTCTTCAAATTCCTTCACCGTGGTTTAACACGTTCAGGTGCTATAACAAAATGTGGTGTTGTGAGTGAAGAAAAGGCAAAGTGCAGTGAAATCAGAAGATAGCTAGAAGATGTCACTAGAAAGTGTTTATCTGCCGAAAAGAGATTTGCACTAAATCTGTAGCTGTGCTTTCCTCCGAGTCTGTGGTGCGTTCAGGCGTTGGTACAACCCTACCACACCGGTAGAGTGATTACAAGTACAAACATTAGCTTACATTTTAATTTTCTTATCCTTACTATCGTTTCATCTAATAATACTATGAGGTATGTGTGAACCTTTGACATAAAGAGTTATGTTGAACCAAATATCTCGGTATTGCTCTATTTCAACCACAACAGAGGAAAGACGTGTGTTTCAATGGATTTAAACTCCACTATTCCGCTGTCATAAGTGTTCATAGAGCTTTGTGATCCGAAGGGTCGGGTTGTACCAGAAAATAACGACTTTGCATACGAACCGAAAACGCCGGCTGAAATGCCGGTTGTGGTCGGGAGGAGTTTTGTCCATCATTTAAATGTGGGATGTGAGATGTGATACGACTGACTCTTAGCTTTGTTGCACCAGGCAAAGTGTGGGAAACATTTTTTTTATACTCTGCTTACTGGTGCATGGAGTTGGAAGACCACATGTAATTTCCAGAATAGGTTGTGCAAGTTATTTTTATTTTACTTTAATCTATAACGCTATATTTGAAAAATAAATTATGTTTCTGCCCCCGCCGAGAAAATATATTTGCTTGTTTGTTTGTTTTTTTATATCAAAGATCCAAGAAAGATGGATGGAAATGTGTGTATATCTAGATCGTCATGACAACTGGGTAAACTCCATCTGTTGATTCCGATGTGATTGAAAGCTCCTCAACGGCGCATGAATAGTCCTTCAGGTGGGCTTGTTTGTCGAACACTGTTCCCAGTGCATTTCTACACTTTCATCAACCAATCGTGTTACTGTTTGCCATCTTGTCATTTCCCCGTCTTTTCACCAGCGTTTTAAATCAGAAAGATGATTATATTCAAAAATGACTCCTACAAATAATTCTACTGCTACAATATAACGGTTTGAATTGTATTACTTGAATGTATTCTTGTCCACAGAGTTCAGCTCATCAACGGTTTCAGATTCATTCTGTCTTTGATGGATGGATGTGTGGATGTGTGGATAGGTGGATAGGTGGATAGATGGCTGGGTGGATAGATAGACGGGTGATAGTCAGTAGTAAGAGAGAAAAAACACATGTGGGTGTAAAGCAAGCGAGGTAGAGATAAATTGCCTTTGTGCTCCGCTTTAGATTCCGATCACGTTCTGCTCTGTCCCCAGACGTTAAAAGTGTGTCCATGGTTTTGGCGACCAAGGGGGTGATTGGAAATGTCAGCTGACAACAGCACTTTTCACTGACACTCTGAGAACTGGCACAGAGACAGGGGTGAGGGATGGGGGAAGAGTCGAGAAGAGTACGGAAGGAAGGAGGGAGGGAGGAAATGAGGAGGATGACAGACGGGGAAGGCAGAGGATGTTGCTGGTGGGTGGGTTTGGCTCACAAAAAAAGCCACGCTTGTTAACAATAAGCAGGAGGGTGACATTGAGTTTTAAAGAGTGTGTGAGTGTGTGTGTGTGTGTGTGTGTGTGTGTGTGTGTGTGTGTGTGTGTGTGTGCGTGTGTGTGCGTGTGTGTGCGTGTGTGTGTGTGTGTGAGCGTTGAGGGGTTGTCCCTCCCGCTGGCCATTGTAACTGTGTCTGCATGTCATGTCAGTGAGTGACAGGAAACTGCCATTCAGTCTATTTCTGAAAGCCACAGAGAGTTGGAACCCAGAGCAAAGACTGCTGCCCACCAGCGCACAGAGGCTCGCCCCCCACACTGACCTTTCCTAAATGTTACCAGCCACTTGGCACACTGACTGGGCCTCTAATGAAACTTTCATTGGCCCCATTTTTCACCCTGTTTTTCCAGAACGCCTCAAGGGCTGAGCTGAAATACAACAGGCTTGAACTGCAGCTGACACGCAGAAGGGCAAAGTATGGTGTGTGTTTGTATCTGTGTGCTCTAGTCCTTAAATTTTATTTTTATCCACCCTTTTCTTTATCCCAAAATCAATGAGATCAATTATAAATGTTGATGAGATCATTTAAAGCCCTTACCTGCGGAGTAGGTAATATATTTTTTTCAAAATACATTTGATAATCAGGTATTAGCTGGAGACAACCAAACCCTCCCAGGGAGCGCCGGTTTATTGTTTGCATTACATTCTGTGGACAATTGGCAATTAAATCTGCAGGATCAGTTTATAACACAGAGGAAGAGAACAGGATGACAAGGAGCAAACAGCGAAAGTTAATGCAGTCAAGGTGTAACCAGGATAACCACATAATTCATCGACATGTTACCAGGAACTATTATACTGTCTTCTGGTGTAATACAAGCATGTTGTAAATGAGTCATGAGTATTTCTGAACTGATAGTAGGACGGTTATTAGAAGATTGAGTGTTTTCCCTCTTAACCTATCCAAGTACTTTAATGCAGTATAGTATAGAAATAATTATGCTTAAGAAATTACAGTTTTATAATCTGCAGCTTTTGGTTACATAAAAATGAATTAGACCACTTTATCTTTATGTCTTGTGTCTATCCAATTTGATGAAAATATCATAATATATTGTATAAATATAGAAATAACTTTTACTTTTGTATTTTCATAAATTTTATCTTTCCAATTAATTCTTTTTTACTGCATGAGCTGAACGACTGGAAGCTACAGAACATCTACTAAGTGGACCTCATGGTGACACTGCTTTTGTCTCAGGGTGTTTCCAGGGTAAACTTTTAACCTGAATGTTTACAGCGTTTTCTCTACAACACAAACCATATGTATTAAAACGAGTGCTGCCAATGCACCGCGTGTGGAAATCAGCACTGCAGGGTCAGAATGTAACTGCTTGAGAATAATGAAGATACAGCTTCACCAGCGTGAATACCACTGGATTTCAGTGCCAGGTGATTAGAGCAGTCTGGAGTACATCCAACATCCAATGGTTTGAAAACTGAGGATCCCTAGTTTGTGCTCCACCACGTATCAATTTGACGGTGTCCCTGTTATTGAAGGCTTCGCTGGTATTTGTCAACAGTTTGACAATTCTGTTCACATCGCTTTTAGAATGACATCTTATTCTATATAATAGGAAATCCTTATCCTGCGCCATTTCGGAAAATGTATCAAATGTTTTTGTATAGTATCTAGACATCTCCCACAGTTGTACATGGTCCCTTTTAAAATTAAATAAATAATCACATCTCAAATTCTCCATTCAGCATTAAGTACTGAGTATTCATTTTACTACTATTGCGGAATGGAAAGACCTGCAGTTCTGTAAGATATTTCATACCATGTTTAAAACAAGTGAAATCTCAAACCATTTGCATTAGATGTTATGGGGCTTGCTGCTGATTGACAGAAGGACGCGTGTGTCCGTTGTTGTGCAGCATGTGTGTGTGTAAATAACCTAGCGTAGAAGGGAGCGGATGGGTTAGGCCGAGCTGGGTTTTGTTTTTTCCTCTGCGGAAACGCACGGGGGTTGGGCAGAGGGGTCAAGAGCGAACCGCTGATTCTCATTATGAGCTGCTGTTGGTCTCACGCAAAACTAATTCCCAAAAGCTGAACTGAACAGAGCAGGAATGAACTGAACGTATCTGCAGAGCAAAGACGGGGTCCGATCGAGTTGAGAGGAACAGAGTAGAACTCACGGCTGGCAGAGTTTGATGAGGTCCTGGTCGGTGGTGGTGGGCGGCAGGCCTCTGATGTACAGGTTGGTTTTACTAAGCTGCTCCACTAGCCCTCCTCCATGACTTCCTCCTCCTCCTCCTCCACCTCCTCCACCTCCTGTGGTGCCAGGGCTGGGCGGAGCCATGGGCGGAGGGGGAGGTGCATAGGATTGCTGCAAAGATAAAGAGAGAACAAATGGGGGAGAGGTCACTTTAGATCACAACATAATGAATAGAAAAGCCTATAATGCCACCTTCTGTGTCACAACAGTAACCGATTTCCTAATAGCAAACATATTTTTTTCAATTTCTCTGCCTCAGTCCTGGCCATTCAACACGGAATCCCTCAACCAAACTCACAAAATCCTTTCAAATAATCTCTTGCTACATCAAATTTCACCCCAATATCTTGATTCAACAGGAAGCACATAAAATTAACGACCAGGATGCGTGTTTTTTGTAGTTTTCATTCTAATCACAAGTGTTTGGCAGCTTTGGTAAGAATGAAGAGGTTGACAAAGTGCCAGTGGCCAGAGGGCTCTGGACACGTGAACTGTCTAAACTGAAACTTAAAATTTGATAATTCAACAAGCAGTGGGATCACCTCACAGTACCTCAAGGTACTGTAAAAAAAACCCCACAGATCACTACATTTACTGCGCTTTGAATGGTTTCTGTCAAAGATCTTATGATGGGCGTACAAACCAGAACAGTGAATGTTTAATCCCGGCCTGGGACCTTCATCACCCCGAACTCACTCAAACGTTTCCTATCGGCCTCCACCGTCCAATTACACAGCTCAATGTTGACTAAACAGCTAAATAAGAAGACAGTTTCTGGCAGGGAAGAAGGGCAGCGAGAGGATTAATGAGTGTTTGGATGATGGGTTCAGGATGCACAACCTGCCCGCTGCTTCAGACAAACTCTTGGATTTGGAGGAACTAAACAACCCTGAAGGCCAATTTCACCACAGCACTCAAAAAGTTCTGCCTTGATGTTTGGAGCAAATCCGGGGAAACTCTGACGACACAGAAACCCTCCTCAGCACTGGCAACGCTGTGGGGAAGCGGATGAAGCTAAAAGGCCCGCTGCCCTTTGAGACGATCACAAGCCCGTCGCACCACAGAGACACACGGGGGGGAAAAGGAGAGACAGGTGGGATGCGTTTGTGTGTACACGGACGCTAGCTGTGTGAGCTTGTGTGTGTGTGTGTGTGTGTGTGTGTGTGTGTGTGTGTGTGTGTGTGTGTGTGTGTGTGTGTGTGTGTGTGTGTGTGCAGCAGTAAAAGGAAAAAGGCGCCTGTGTGAACCGGAGCCATTTACTGTGCGCTGCCTTACGCTATCGGCCTAGAATGTGCCGGTACACTTAAACAACAACGGGACAAAGTACCGAGATGAAAAAAGGGCTTCTCTGGGTAATGCTTCATTTCATGGCTGTGACAAATACAACCTTATATTTGAAGTTACCACTAAAAACAAACATTGTATTCGCCGTTTGGTAATCTTTCTGGAGTATCTACCAACACAGTGTCCACTGAGGACATGTTGTCCATGAATATCAAATGTGCTCAAATTGACTCAACCTTAAATAATTAATCAAATCAAGATTCCATTCTGTAACCATTACAGTGATTAATCAAGAAAAACGGTAAACATTTAGTTGGTTCCAGATTTACAAACTGCCTTTGCCCTAAATCATTGAATATATTTGGGTATAAATGTTGGTGCAAGCTGATTGGCTCTGTTAAAGTGTGATTTTATAGATCAAACTATGAATAATTATTATTATATACAATAGCATTCTAACATTTTAACAATGACAGTACCAACATGTGGATGTTTAACTGGTATAACGTTTATTACCTGTGAACATGCTGAAATTCACTTGTTAGCACTACACATAAAGAACGGCAGGACGATATTTTTGTCAAAAAGAAAGAAGAGTATTCAGCATCACAAACAACCACACATGGATATCAGACATCCACAGACTTGGAGATGATGTGAAGAAGTGAAGAAGAAGAAAACTCATGAACGGCTGTATTTCGTAAGGACCCTTAAGACAAAATTCCTCTGCCAAGTTCCTGTCAACTTTTTCAGGAGAGGTTCAATAGAATTGTGCATTGTGACTACAAACAATAAAAACTGGCTTGGCCAGACAGGAAGGCTCTAAAGCGGTTGATTAAAACCACCCAGAAGATGATTGGCACCCATTTACTGAGATTCAGTGATATTCTTATATAACATCGCATTGTCGTTGGATAGCTAAGCGGTTAATCAAAGACAAACGCACAAAGACTCCAAAACATCTTCTTTCCTGTCGCTGTGAGACTCCTTAACTCATTCATCACCGTTCATATATAATATGAATTCTTCGTTTTCTTTTGTATTTAGCAAAATGGGACTACAAAGTCAATTTTGGTGTGCAACCCTGACGTTAAACAACAAAAGCCTTGGCTTATTAAAAATCTGACCTTTTGATGGGGCTCAAAGAAAAGTTAATGGATCCACAAAAGTTATTACACTTCATCCTGCGGGTAACATGAAGGTAAGTGCCAAAGTGAACGGCAATCCATTAAAAAGAAAACCGAATAATAAAACAAAACACGTCACCCAGCGGCTCACCAAAGTCATTAAATGTACCGCATGTACGTATGCGTAAAAAAAAAATCCATTTCAATCCATCCAATAGTTAAGATATTTTACCACTGGCCAAAATGATCAACCAAACTAAGTCAGGCATCAGCAAAGTCCGGAGGGTTCATCCTCTGGGGACAAGTCATTTCCGATATTCTGCACAGCCTCACAGACCCTCCAGGCTGCTTCCATTCAGAAAACCTTGTCACATCCTCAGAATACAATTGAAAAGTCTTAATTAATGTACTGAAAAAAGTCTCACGACTGTAAAGATTGAGAAGAAAAAGATCCAACTCTAACATCATGAATCATTAAAGATTTTTTTTTTGTAATGGTACAAAGTGAGCGAAACATGCAAATTCAACGTTCCTCCTGAGTAGCTGAGAGGTGGGTGATTTGTACCAAGAGGTGCGTGTACATTTTTGCATCTGGTGCCTGTGATCTCGATAATGGAAACCTTGATACTTCAAAGCCCGACCTGTGTCGAGGGCTGTTTTGATATGGGCCTTTTAACAATTGCTTTGTTTACCGACCGCCTCTGAGAGATAACATGGATACATGTTTGATGTGAAGAGTCAGATACAGAAAAGACCCCCAGCTGAAATCTGAAAGAGGAACATCCCTAAGCTCCAACATGGCGAGGAAAAGACCCCAAACATACCGGCACATTGGAGTCAGGCGCGCACACAAAACAAAACTGGAGGCATTCACACACACACACACACCGTCGGCCTTATCTACTGTATGTACAGTCATTTCATTCCACGCTGATTTGTAGAGGAAAATGGCAATTTTTCCACTGACACATACTGAGATGTCCGAGTATGCACGAACGTACAAAATCCCTCTCCTCACTCGCTGACACAACACACACACATACCTGATCAAAGGCCTTGCCCGGGGAACCTCTTTTAGCCAATTTGTGCAGCTGTCAGGGCCAGGCCGATAGTGAGCTCTATTTGTAATGTGTCAGAGGCTGTGATAGGGAAATCCTTTGAAACATTAAACTCGCTCTCTCCCTCTCTTTGGCAGCATGCTTTCTCCTCTCTCCTCCCCCTCTTCCTCACTGTCAAACTCCACTCCACCATCGCTCAATCTCTTGCTCCTTTCACCTCTATCCTTGCACTTCCCACATAGTTGCTCTATATATCTCCCTTCCTTCTCTTTTCTTTCAAGTTCCTCTCTTCTACGGATTACTCTGCGGTCGTGGAGTGTGTGGATTGAAGGCTGCCTCTCAGCTGGCATTGTTGACACATTTAGAACGGCGGAGAAACTCGTGCAGTGGGGGGGAGCAGGGGGGGGGCTCAGAGGCAGCGGCACAAACTGTCACAGCGAGCAAACACAGTCCCCGGGTCCTCGTGGATTTCGTGCACGGCTGGGCCTGTGAACAACGACACGCTGCGAAGCGTCTCCGCGCGGCGGCATACGTGTGCCTGCTGATGACTGGCTGATTAGCGTACACTTGTCTGCATGATCAAATGCAAAGAGGGTCACTCGATGGCCAGATAGAGTCTTTAAAAGATCTCCGCATTGAATCCAATATATATTCCATATCTATTTCTTTGAAAAAACTGCTGCTTCAGGTCTTATTTGGCTTATTTTCAGTTTAAAAAGCTGGGTCACAAATGGGAAATGTTTAAAAAGATAAAAGAAAAGTGTTCATCATCTCCTATCCCATAACTGACTGCAAAACATTCCTCTTCGATTAAGCAATATTATCCAAAACAGGTTGAAATAATAATGTGATATTGCACCACAGCTCCAATAACTTCGACCCTTTTGGACTGTTCGGATCTACGTTTCCTCAACACTGTCGAACTGGTTTGCTCTCAAAATGTAAGAGGAATTTGTGTGGATTTACTTGCAACACAAGTCTGTCCGTCTTAAAGGCAGCTGCAACCGGGTCGGCACCTAAACGACATCGATACACATCCTGCCAAGCCCTGAAAACAGATTGCAATGAGACACACACGCACGCACACACACACACACACACACACACAAACACAACTTAGTTGTTTCCAGGATTCCTGTAAAAGTACATTGACCTTGCTGAGGTCGGGTCTCTGCTGTTTTTTTTCAGCAGAAACGATGTTTGTTATTGCATACTGAGGCGCTGGTGTCGCAGTGTGTTGCTGTCACATCGGTGCATATTTACCTTGGTTTGAGCTAGACAGAGATGCGGATAATAAAAAAGACACCCACCATTACAGTAATGGCCAACAAAGAGTCCATTCATCTGGTGCTATGACTATAAAGCTCGTCCCTACATTTAACAAGGCCTTTCTCTGGCAATGTGCTCCTCCATGTGCATTTAATATGATGCAAAATAATGTTTCTCACTAATGTGGGAGTGTATGCGGAGCCATTAACGAGGATGAAACAGAGCTGTATTCAGTGCGAGTCCATTATAGATGAAGGGATGGAAAGAGCCACTGAGGGATGGTAGAAAGGAAGGAGGATATTTGAAAACAAGTTGCAGAGTCCCAGAGAGGAGTGAACTCTGGGTGAGAGGTAAAAATAAAGGGATAAAGAAA